CTTCTTCGTAGCAAAACAAAGCAACATTTGTTTCCCAGTAGGTAAGAATTTCAATTTTATCTTGAATTTAATTCTCAAATTTACATGTTCTATGTGATTGTTAATTGTTTATAGGAATTATATTTTTTTATTAATCAATATAGATGTAAGATTTGGAAATATATATGTAATGCATTGATGCATTGATGTTGTGATGCTCAAATCAATATATATGGTTTTTGTGATGCTTGTTTTTATTCTTTTCTAATCTATAATGTATTGATTTTAAATTCTTATTTATCATTCTTAAATTCTTAGAGGTTTTCTTAAGAATTGAAAATTTACGTAAATCATATAAGAATGTTATCTTTCGAACAAAATTCAACTGCTGCTACTACATAATCACAACAATCACAGTAATCATGTAGGGGAAAAGTTGATATTGCATGAGAGCATTGTATTAAAGTTGAAGGCATGAAAAAAAACATTAAAATGCTTGCATTGCCAAAAACTTATCAAAGGAGGGGGAGTAAATAGAATGAAACATCATCTTACTGGAAAAGGTGGAGAAGTAAAAAAATGTGATAAGGTGCCTCATGGTGTTTGCTATCAAATGTAAGAAAGTTTGAGGGAATTTGAAGAACTAAAAAAGCAAGCTAAAAATCAATAGGAAGATAACCCATTTGGTGATGGTGATGTACAAGAGATTCCTGCTCCACCTTCTCAAGTTAAAGGAAAAAGAATAACAACTACTTTAGAAATGGGTAAAAAAAGAAATGCAAGTGAGTTACATAATAATTTTGCTTCGAGAACAACTCTTGGATCTCAACCATCAATTAGAAGTGCAATGATAGGTATAAAAGATATTCATCAAGCTGATTTAGCTGTTGCTTGATTCTTCTTTGATAGTTGCAGTCCTATAGATGCCATTAATTCTCCATATTTTCAGCCTATGATTGATGTTATTGCTGCAACTGGTCCTTGTTATAAAGGACCAACCTATCATGTTGTGAGACCTAGTCTTTTGAAAGATTTAAAAAAAGAGGTCTAGTTGATTGATTCTTATAGGAAAGTTTGGGAAAAACTAGTTGTACAATCATAGGCGATGGTTGGTAGGATAAAAAAAATAGACAATTGATTAATTTTCTTGTTTACTATCCTTGAGGGATAACCTTTGTGAAATTTGTTGATACTTCTAATGTGGATAAAGATGCTAACATGCTCTGCAATTTTTTTTAAAGAATTGGTTGATTTTGTTGGTGCTAGTATAGTTATCCATTTGGTCACTGATAATGCAGCTAATTATAAGTAAGTTGAAAAAATGTTAAATAACATGTATCCAACTATCTTTTGGTCTCTTTGTGCTACACATTGCTTGAATTTGATATTAAGTAAAATTGGCAAGTTGGATGTTGTGAGTAAATTGGCAATTAGTGCATCAATGGTGGCTAAATTTGTATATAATCAAGCTTTTCTCTTAGCTTGACTAAG